TGTAGAACTTTTCATGGCACCTTGGTTTCTTTGATTGAAAGCTATTATAACTGCCTCTTTCTCTACTATAAAGTTGTCAATTACGCTAATTTGTTATACCTTAAGAGTCAACTGCATTATTTCCTAAGTCTAGTGGTTAAGAGCTTACAAAGACAATGCACTTAAAAATTTTCAGATTGTCTAAAATTGCTAAAGCCTCTAGTTTCAAGTTCATAAACTCTTAGATTAAAACACCCAGTAACAGCAAAATAGAGAAAAATCAGTCAACAGAGAAGAAGAAAGAAATACAAGTGCAGAAAGAGACACTAGCAAGAAATCATATAGACCTGGATAGATAGAAAGTAGCCCTAGCTCCTAGCTTTCTGTTATTGGTGCCAGCTGCTTCTGAGGCCCAGCTGCACTTCTCGCCCTTGGCCTCTGATATAAACTATATTCCTTTTCTAACACGACATTCTTTTTGCTAATGCTAATTTAAGTAATATTGTTTAATTTGTCATGAAATACTCCTTAAGTCCAAAAAGGCAGAGAGGAACAAAGTATAACAGTTTATATATTTAGTATTTTTCACTATTTTATATATGTGTGTATACACATCATTTACACACTGTAAATGACGCCTTAAAGAGAAAGGGAGAGAGAACTCAAGTATAGTTATTTTCTATTGCGATTGTAAACTCCCCATTTATTTATTTATTTATTTTCGAGATGGAGTCTCACTCTGTCACCCAGGATGAAGTGCAGTGGCGTGATGTCGGCTTACCGCAACCTCTGCTTCCCAGGTTCAAGCGATTCTCCTGCCTCAGCCTCCAGAGTAGCTGGGATTACAGGCGTGCACCACGATACCCAGCTAGTTTCTTTTGCATTTTTTGTAGAGATGTAGTTTCACCATTTTGGTCAGGCTGCTATCAAACTTCTGACCTCAGGTGATCCGCCCACCTCAGCCTACCAAAGTGCTGGGATTAAAAGCATGAGCCACCACGCCTGGCCTAACACAGTGCCTTATACTATTTATTTATTTATTTATTTATTTATTTATTTATTTATTTATTTATGAGACAAGGTCTTGCTGTTCCGTAGGCTGGAGTGCAGTGGCTTGACCATGGCTCACTGCAGTGTCAACCTCCCAGGCTCAAATGATCAATCAACCCACCTCCCTACCCCCGCCCCCGTGGAAGCTGGGACTGGAGGCACATGCCACTATACCTAGCTAATTTTATTTATTTTTTGTAGACACAGGGTCTCGCTATGTTGTCCAGACGGGTCTCAAAATTCCTGGACTGAAGAATCCTCCTGCCTTGGCCTCCCAAAGTGCTGGGATTGCACAGTCTTGAGCCACTACACCTGGCCCCTTATACACATTTAACAAATGTTTATTGAATGGACATACAATTTAAAAAGAATGAAATTCATTTGGCCAAAATAACAAACCTAATCGTGGAGTTTTCAAAAGCATTTCATTTCAAACTAATAAAAGATGTTCTTTATAATTCTCATTAGCATAATTCTGATTAAACACACATACACAAAGAAATGCTGTTTTCTATTTTCTAAATAGAATACTGTACTGACATAATTTGGGTTTTGATTTATTTAGATTCTGTGTTAGCTCATGGGACTCTGAAGCCTTTTTAGTAGTCATTAAGACCGTTCACAGACTATTCCAGTTCTCCTCTTTCTGGGCACATGGTAGAAATGCATTTCCCCATCTCTTTGAAGTTGGGGGTAGTCAAGTGACTTTTGGCCAATGAAATAGCAGTGGAAGTTACCTGTGTCACTTCCAGACAGAAGCCCTGAAGAGCCAATGTACACCGGGTGCAGTGGCTCACGCCTGTAATCCCAGCATTTTGGGAGGCTGAGGCAGGTGGATCACGAGGTCAGGAGTTGGAGATCAGGCTGGACAACATGGTGAAACCCCATCTCTACAACAAATACAAAAATTAGCCAGGCACGGTGGCGGGCACCTGTAATCCCAGCTACTCGGGAGGCTGAGGCAGGAGAATCGCTTGAGACTAGAAGGCAGAGGTTGCAGTGAGCTGAGATCATGCCATTGAACTCCAGCCTGGGCAATAAGAGTGAAACTCTGTCTCACAAAAAAAAAAAAAAAAAAAAAAAAAAAGAAAAGAGCCAATGTAAAATCACCACATCCTTTTCCTGTCCTAACAACTGTGGAAGCACGTGCTGAAATATAGCCTCCGATAGCCAGAGACTGACCATTTGTAATGGAGTTCCCTTGCTGACCTGCTTCAGCATGTAGTATAACAGAAAAAAAATCTTCGCTGTTTAAAATCAATAGGATGTGAGAGTTCTTTTGTTACCACAGCATAATCTATCCTTCCTGGTATACTCAGCAAACCCCTTTCTCATAAATGGAATGAAGCAATGAATAGCTCTGGCCCTCTAGTTTCAGAATGGTATCATTTTGTATAGCACTATCATTTAGAGAATACTTTTGAATGGAAGTGCCCCTCATTATCCAAACTCATCATCCGAACACAGGAACTGAAAGGATTCTGATAAATTTTTGGATCAACACCTCATTCTCTCAACTCTCTGTACCTGCCATCTCAAACTCTGGAACCAAATACATTTGGATAGGTGCCATTCCTTGCCTTCCATACTCTTGCCACCTGCACTCAGGAATGGAATAAATTTAGACAGTGAAGAATTCTTGATATATTATTTCATTTGCACTCTGCTGTTTTTCTACTACCTAGTACCCAGTAGATTCTCGTTTATTCCATAAATGAATTTATGTACTGTCATCATTCTAATTTTACAAATAAGGCAATAGATTCAGGGAGGTTCATCGACTTGCTGGAAACAATCCTGCACATTCAGTAGTGACACAATCCCAGAGTTTCTGGCTTCAAATCTTCGCTCTTTCCACGCTGTACTGTGCTCTCTTAGGTTTCTCATAGCTATGGAATGCTTATGATTTGATAGTAAATTAACAGTACAAATAGTGTCTGTGATAAAAAAAAAAAATCACATATTTACATCCAAGAATAAAGTCATTCCTCAAGGACTTCAACTTGCCTATACCTAGTCTAAGTCATAGACACTAAGTACAGAACAAGAAGGTGCCCTAGAGGTCCTTCAACAGGCAACTTGCAGAACAATGAAGGAATGTGAAAGAATTGGGGGAAAGTAGTGTTCTTCTTTGCTATACAGTATGTTAAAATCCTGACTTTTAAATTATCTTCACTTTGGACCTTACCAAATTGGCTAACCTCAACTCTTTGCTTTCCAATTCTCATTGAACCTCAGTCGTAAGAAATACTAACGAAGAACTGCCTGAAGAATAGATAATTCATCTTTTTTTATTTTTATTTTTTGAGATGGAGTCTCACTCTGTTGCCCAGGCTGGAGTGCAGTGGCACCAACTCAGCTCACTACAACCTCCACCTCTTGGATTCAAGCGCTTCTCCTCCTTCAGCCTCCTGAGTAGCTGGAACGACAGGTACGTGCCACCACACCTGGCTAATTTTTGTATGTTTAGTAGAGACAGGGTTTAACCGTGTTGGCCAGGGTGGTCTTGAACTCCTGAGCTCAAGTGATCTGCTCGCCATGGCCTCCCAAAGTGCTGGAATCACAGGCGTGAGTCAACGCGCCCAGCCAAAACAGGCTGAAACTTATGTTGTTCCTTTTTCTCTTTTTACCTAGTTCCCAGGAAGCCCAAGGCCCAAACTGTGACTCATCTCTAGCACAGGATCTTTTAAACAGGAACTTGGTATTATCTTTTTTCTTGACTTTGTATTCTTCTTTTCCTGCTCTACCTCAATTTTTCCATTTAGTTTGTTTTATCCTATGGTACTACATGGTCCCTAGATTGCTTCAAATATATAGTTTCTGGAACTACATATTGTACATATTGCATCTTCTTACAATTTCATGTTGATTCCGCCCTCCCCACCCAATTACCCAACAATGTCAGCGTATTCATCTTTGTGTAAAAGTATTCACATAAGTCATAACAAGCCAATAGGACATACACATTCACAATGCAGTCAAATCTGTAAATGCTGAAAACCAGAAGAAAAAAAAAAGGAAAAAAAGGGTCATGATTGTTTTTTGCCGCCAGAGGTCTAATAACCAAAAAGAGTTATTAAACTATTTCCTAACAGGAAGGAGAATCAACATTTATTTAGCACCAGCAGATGCCAGGCACATAACAGCAGCTCCATTTTTCAAAGCAAGCAGGAGGGGCATCTGCACATCTAACCTCTGGAAGAAGACACCAGAAACAGAATATTGGCGTGGGTGCAGGGGTGGGTGGGGAGCCTGTCTGTCCCTTTTGTACCTTTTGAATTCTGTGAACTTGTCGACTACTAAAGAATAATTTTAAAAATGAAATGAAGAGATAAAAAACCACAGTAATGCTTTACTCTTTGACACAGCAAACTTTTTCCGCCAGCTTCTGATCCCAGAGCATGCACTGAAATAAATGTCTAAATGGAAAAGTTTCACCAGACACGCCGGGTCTCGGGAAAATGAAGTCCTCGTCTTATTCTCCACACTCCGGGGGCGAGGCTATTATTTAAAAGAAAAGCTTAAAAACTTAGGTCAAAATTGCCTGCAAGTAATAAGGAGAGGAAAAAAAAAATCCGAAATGGTTTCCAGTTTGTTTTATTGGCAGAAACAGTCCGGGAAAGCAGCAACGTGTGCACCGCAGTCCGCTCCTCACCGCCGGCCACCAGCGCCGCGTCCACAACTTTCCACAACTCCAGGGCGGCCCGGGCGCCGGCTCCAGCGCTCGGGGATGTGCAGCGGGGAGGCCGGGCCGGGGTTCGAGCCCCGGGTGCCGTGTGGGGAGGCCCCCGCTCGGTCCAGCCCCTCCGAATCGGAGGGCCTCGCAGCCGCCTCCTGGGGGGGGGGGCAGCGTCTTCGCGCCCAGCGCGCTCGGGGCGGCCGCGGCTGGGCGTGAGAGTCGCGTGGGGGCGGGGAGCGGGCCCTGCCCGGAGCGGCCCCCTCCCCGACGCCGAGGAGGAAGTCGCACTTACCGCGTCGGGCTCCGGAGGCGGCCAGGGGTCACCGCGGGCCAGGCCGGCCAGGCGGGAGGAGCGGGGGAGGCGGGGGCCGGGGCCGGGGCCGGCGAGCTGAGGTGTGGGATGCTCGGCCCCTCGCGCGCCCCTGGCCCCGTCCGGGCAGCCTCACCCCCGGCGCCGGCCGGCCCGGAGCGAGCCACTCCCGCTCCGTCAGGCGGCGCCAGGCCAGGGGGTCAGAGTACCCCGGCGGCCCCGAGGGGGCGGGCGAGTAGGTGGGGGTCGGAGACCGGTTAGCCAGTCAGTCCCGGCGCGGCGCAGGCTGCTGCCCGCCCCGCCCCCTCCCGCCAGGCCCCGCCCCGCCCCCTGCCGCTAGGTCCCGCCCCCTCGCCGGGCCGCGCGCCCCGAGAGGCCGCGGCAGTCATTTCCCCACCGGGGGTTTCTTTGCTCTCCTGCGCGGCGTGGGGACTGCCTGAGCCAGGGAAGGGGTTGGGGGAAGGGGAGCGTCTGTGGCGAGAGGAGCTAGTGGGGGAAGGGGACGTCAGACTGGGCGGGGATATGGCGAGGAGGGGGCGTGGCGTAGCGGACCTGACAAAGATTCTGGTTGTTCCCCGCCCCTTGAAACTGGGGTTAGGAGAATTCCTGGGGGTGGAAGTTAGGAAGAGGTCCCTCTGCAGGGCTGGAAGGCCGTGAGAGAGGCGGACTCTGTCGTCTCAGAGCTTAGAGGGAACTCACCAAGACTCGCCTCCCTTCTCCAGCCTTAGTAATCATTCCCCTGGCAATAATCTGATAATTATTGTGCTCTAGGTGGTGGGTTTGTGGCATCGCAAATATGATCCTCAGCACTATGACCATAATCATTGTTTTCCAGTGGTGGAATAATAAGAATCTGAAAAAGTAGATTCTTTATTCAGTCCTCTACCCAACATTGAACTCTTATATGCTAGGCTGTGAGAATAACAACTAATTTATTTGGCACCTTATGAAAACACTAAAGTACTTTACATGTTAATTCACCATCGGGTTTGAGCAAAACAGCTATGGTCCCTGCCCCCAGTAGCTCATGATGCATTACGAAGGGAGGGATTTCCGTACTTTGTCTCTGAGTGATGCGTAAACCAAATGCCCATCTGCTTTTGGTTCTTAAAGTAATGCCTATGTTCATTATTCGTAGATTAGTGTTTGCTACTCTGAGTTAGCTGTATGCTCTCCGTCCGTGATGGTTGAATGTGGTCATTCCCCGCAAATGACATTTGTTCAGGAGATCTTCAGTTTGTCTCCATAATAAAAAACCCAATGCAAGCAAAGCAAGTGGTCCAGAAGACTGATAATCAAATAACATAACCAAATTGTGGTAGCAGCCTGGGGTGGCTGGGAGATCTATTTAGGGATGTTTTGTGCACTTCCACTTGGGCAAGTGGTTAGGAAAAAACAATATGATGTAAAAGAATGAAGTACTGACATGGACTGCTAGTTCAAAGGGAAGTGGATGGGACAATTTAAGATTGTTACAGTCAGGAAGAAGATACATCACAAACTCTCCCAAGGAGGGTTCCAACCACAAAGTACAGGATACATTTTTTATCGGAGCTATGTGGAAGAGACACCCTCTACCTCCTATGCAATGACACCTATGCCCATAGATAAAAATTGCCTCAGTAACTTTGTTTTTAAATACAAAAGACAATTGTGTAAACAAACCCACTGCTTGAATTTTTGGAATTTGGTACTACGTTTCAGCCCTTATTGGATTTTTCAATGTTTACCTTTGTGTACATTAACAGCAAATGACATTCTTCTCATAGTTTTTTTTTTTTTTTTTTTTTCCCCTGCTCATAGTTACTTGTTCAGTTTTGGATTTTTAGTTCAGCATTTTTCTTTCAGTTTTATAATGAGAAAGACTAGAAAAGCATTGCAATCAAATCAGATTACAATTGCAGTAAAAATTCCTTATTTAAGAAATAGGCATTCCCAGCCAGGCGCGGTGACTCACGCCTTAATCCCAGCACTTTGGGAGGCCAAGGCGGGCGGATGGCGAAGTCAGGAGATTCGAGACCATCCTGGCCAACATGGTGAAACCCCGATTCTACTAAAAATATAAAAATTAGCTGGGTGTGGTGACATGTGCCTGTAATCCCAGCTACTTGGGGAGGCTGAGGCAGTGGAATCACTTGAACCAGGGAGGTGGAGATTGCTGTGAGCCAAGATTGTGCCATTGCACTCCAACCTGGTAACAGAGCGAGACTCCATCTTAAAAAAATGAAAGAGAGAGAGAGAGAAAGAGAAAGAAAGAAAGAAAGAGAAAGAAAGAAAGAAAGAAAGAAAGAGAAAGAAAGAAAGAAAGAAAGAGAAAGAAAGAAAAGAAAAGAAAGAGGCATTCCCATACTTAATCTTTTTTTTTTCCTGGTGAAATATATTGTTTGTTCTATCCTGAAACCTATTTTATTTACTGATCTGTATTTTCAGCTCATTTGCTCCATCAGCCCAGTAAAAATGATGAAATAAAACATCCCCTGTGATCTGGCCCCCTCCACGGGCTCGCACGCTACTCCCAGACACTGGATTCCTTCCTCTTCTGCCAACAGGCCAAGTGCTTGCCCATGCAGCCTTCACATGTTCCTCTGTCTAGCAAGCTCTTAGCTACTCCCTCCTCCATCATGTCACTTTTCCTGACTATCCATGTAAACCTGTAACCCATCCCCCAACTCCTCTCTTCTCAGCACTGAGCACCACCTGACATATACATCTGTTTATCTCTGTACTCCCACTGGAATGTAAACTTCATGAGAGCAGAGCTTTGTTTTGTTACTTTTAAATCTCCAGTACCTATTATTTCCCATGTCTGTCATACAGTAGATACTCAACAAATATTTTTTGAATGAATGAATGAATCCAAATAGGAGAGATAGCTTGTATTCCTTTTGTAATGGCCAAACAGCTTTCATGCAATTTATCTTATAACGAATCATATGACTTAGATGTATTAATAAGGTCTAAACCACAGCCCACATTTACCTTATTTAAAAGTAGAATTTGGCTGGAAGCAGTGGCTCATGCGGGTAATCCCAGCATTTTGGGAGGCCCAGGTGGGCGGATCACTTGAGGTCAGGAACTTGAGACCAGACTGGGCAACACGTTGAAACCCCACCTCTACCAAAAATACAAAAATTTGCTGGGTGTGATGATGGGTGCCTGTAATCTCAGCTACTTGGGAGGCTGAGGCAGGAGGATTGCTTGAACCTGGGTGGGGGAGGTTGCAGTGAATTGAGATTACGCCACTGCACTCCAGCCTGGGAGACAGAGTGAGATTCCATCTCAAAAGAAAAAAAAAACGTAGAATATGAAAAGGCGTTTTCTCTCTCATTCTGGCAATACTAAGGAACAGGATTTGAAGAAGCATTTGCAGCTAAGAATTTATGCTGAGATCTTACAACTTCGCCCATAAATGGATCCGTAGAATCAGAGGGAATGATGGATCAATACATGCTGTGAAAGTCTTAATAATTTTCCATGAGAGGAAACACAGCCATAATCAGAAAATTTGAAAACTCTACTGATAATTTGATACATGATGTCAGTAGGACGTCTTTTGTGAATGCTTAATTTTAATTGATAATTATGATGATGAGGTTAACAATGTTTTAGTCTGGTTAAAGTGCAATACCAATAGATAGTAAAGAGAACTTAACCCTAGTATGTAAATACACTTAATAAAGAAACAGTTTGATTTTTCATTTTGTGCTCTGCCTACTGGGTGTGTGGGTGGGGAGGATTAAAAGATTAAACTATGATTATATACAGTATATGTGTTCAAAATCTGGATCCCAGGAATGTGATCTTTTTTAGAGGACTTAGGATTTCTTTTAGTAGTATTTCTGCTCTCCAAGTTCTGACATGAACAGCCTCCTGTGGAATCAGTCTCATTAAAATAGAGAGCTATGTAAATATGACCAGATCATACCCCTGGGAAGCAAATCTCCAAATCAGGAGAGACAGGTGGCCAAGTAAACCCAACTAAAAGTGTGTCCCTTGAAGTTTACCTTATATTCTCACTCTGGTTTCTCTTGGTTCACCTGTCAATTCGGTCCAAATACAAAAAAAAAGAAAAAAGAAAAGACAGGAAAGAGAATTTCCTTACCTCTTTTTTTTTTTTTTTTTTTTTTTTTTTTTTTTTGAGACTGAGTCTTGCTCTGTTGCTAGACAGGAGTGCAATGGCATGATCTCGGCTCACTGCAACCTCGGCCTGCCAGGTTCAAGTGATTCCCCTGCCTCAGCCTCCTGAGTAGCTGCTGGGACTACAGGCCCGCACCACCATGTCCAGTTAACTTTTTGTATTTTAGTAGAGATGGGGTTTCACCATGTTGGTCTCAATCTCCTGACCTCGTGATCTGCCCGCCTCGGCCTCCCAAAGTGTTGGGATTACAGGCATGAGCCACCACGCCCAGCCTCAGCTCTCTTAACCACAGCTAAACCAATCTAGAATTTCTAAGTGAACTTTGCTAAAATCTAAAGGAGAATAAAAATGAAATTATTACTATATTATGGAAAATATAAGCAACACCAATAACTTTATTCATTTGTTCAGCTTATCTTCTCAGTTTCCATTCTTCCAAGAACAAACTTCCATCCCCAAGGGGAGATATAAATTTGCAGGCAACCTGCCTAGTTTCCTTCCCTCTAGGCTCTCTTTTTCTCTGCACAGTAAGGTCATTTTTCTGTCTTATTATTTTTTTTCTTTTTAGACGGGGTCCTGCTGTGTTGCCCAGCCTGGGGTACGTTGGTGCGATCCTCCCACCTCAGCCTTCTCAGTAGCTGGGACTACAAGCCACCATGCCGGCTAATTTTATTTATTTTTTTTGTAGAGATGGAGTCTTACTGTGTTGCCTAGGCTGGTCTCAAACTCCCAGGCTCAAGTGATCCTCCTCCTCAGCCTCCCAAACTGTTGAGATTACAGGCATGGGCCATCACGCCTGGACCACTTTTCTCTTTCACATGGCCACTATAAGCCTGTCCCAATCACAGCCAAGACTAAAAGCCCCACTTGTCCTCTGTCCCCATTCTTCTGGTGAGAGGGATATGGCATAGTCCAGGTCAAACTGCGGGACTATGGTGACTGTCATAATATATGAGCTACTTCTTCGGGTGAAACTCACTCTTTACACGTGTTAGGAAGGTCATTACCGGCCCACTGTCAGGCCACTCCTTGTAGTCCCCAGAGCATTCCCAAAAGAACTGCCCAACACAGCGTTGGGGACATGGGGAAGGAATGTGCATTCTCTCATGCATGTATTTCCATTCACCCATTCTTAAGTAGGTGTCCTATAA